TGACCTTCAGCATTCTCATCGCTCAGATGGAGTGGAAGTCCCATAAGAGATCCCTAAGGTTATCGAATATTCTATGATTCACAAAGATTGACCACAGAGGCAGCCTCTCAATGCCTCTGCTTTCTGAAACGCTCCCCCTTCCAAGGAGCAGGCATGCACTGTGTGGGGGGAGACGACTGGTGGGAGTTCGCTGCACCCCAGAAAGGGAGCAGCTGTCCTGGGCAGTGCAGGTTCCAAGTCCTGGTGGGAACCCGTCTCCCTACGGAGGCCAGCTCGGAGCAGGACAGGAAGCAACGCTCAGGTTCCCCGTAGCTGACCAGCAGAAAGAGAAGCCCCGTTTGCGGGCAAACACGAGCATGGGCTACTTGTTTCCTACATGAAGCCAGGGTGGTGAGGGAAACCTGGAAACTGTCGGACACCTCAGACAAGAGCTTGGGGGAGGTGGGAGATCCGAGTGTCTGGAGGCAAGGTGTGAACACAGACGAAATGAAGAAGGATCACTTCTTATTTGGGGCCTTCTAGTTGAGCTTCTGCAAGCCTTTCAACCCTCTCTGGCAGCGGGCACGGAACCATGCAAAGGCACTTGGCCGCAGCTCAGCCGGATGGCCATTGCCACAGCTCCAGCTAGACTCGGGGCGGGTTCACAGACAGGTGAACAGAGCGGTGAGCCACCCTGTCAAGCGGTGAGTGTTCTGTGGGATCTGTGGTTCACGATGGCGTGCTGAACACGTGGGCTCCTCCCATCCCTCGTGAAAGCCCATGAAAAGAAGAGCAAAGAAAGAAAGACAATGGGGTAATAAGGGATGACAGCAGGCGAGAGATGCCAACCCACGTGTAGCGGGGCAGAGGACCTGACTGCCCCACACGGGCAGAGGCACGCCACTGAGCGGCCACAGCTGCGGTTCTACCCCACGGGGGAGTCAGAGGAGCTCTATTTCAGGGGGATGCCGGGCACAGCAAGGCAGGAGCAATTCAGCGAGTCTCAGTACTGATCGTGATGAAATTGCCTGCTTGGGTCAGGACATGTGTGTGCTAGGATCTCTGGGTACAGCTCTACAGTCTGAGCACTGAACAAAGGCACTTGGCTAAGGGAAGAGTTGGGAGTAAAAATCTATTCCTTGCTCTGCTACTCAAGTCTTGCCCTAGCTCAGGTCTACATCTCACTGGAGAAAGGGGCAAGAGAGGCCACCTGCCGGTCAAGCCAAGTGCCTATGGGTGGCTTCTGCCCAGAGGGGGCATCCTTCTCTAAGTCAGCCACCGAGAGGGAAGGCCTTTTCTCGAAATTGCATGAGGACTCTTCATAGGCCAGTAGCAGCTTTATGGATGTCCCGCTTTCCCGGGCAGGAGAGAAGTGAAAATATCTTGAAAGAAACACAACGAGTTCTAGAGAAAAGACCTGCAACTGACATGTGGGGTCCTCCCATGGAGGGTCCAGGTGCCAACCCCATGACTCTAGAGAAAAGCCCACCGGTTGACACACAGAGCTTCCAGTCTGTTTTCTGAGGGGTCACCCTTCAATATGAACAGATCCAGAGAACCACCAGCCTGTGATGTGAAAGACAGAGCCTGAGACTGACCAAGAGAAAGGGTACTCAGAGGAGACAAAGCCAGTACAGGGAACAGAAAGGAAGTTCCCCAAAGCCACTCTCCTGGGCATCCACAGGGAGAGAAGAGCTCCATCCATGCAATGAGAACAAGGCATGATAAAAGAGGAATGAGAACAGCAACAGAATATTCCAGAAACCAAGCATTAAACATCCATCAGGTATGCGAGAAGATAAAGCTGAAGATCTCTCCCTAAGATCAGATCCCCAAAATAAAGAGGTCATACACAGAAAAGATACAAAATATTAAAGGACTATAGCTCAGAAGATCCAACACTCGGATAATGGGTGGTTCAGAAAGGATGTGAACCATTAGAAGATTTATGGGGTGCCTAGGTGGCTCAGTCAGTTAAGCATCTGCATTCAGCTCAGATCATGATCCCAGGGTCCTGGGATCGAGCCCCATGTTGGGCTCCCTGCTCAGTGGGGAGTTTGCTTCTGCCTCTGTGCTCACTTGCTCTCTTTCTCTCTCAAATAAAATCTTGAAAAAAAAAATTACAAAGTTTTCCATGAAACCAAGCATGACATTCATAGCATCGAGGATGCACCACCATCAGGACATCAGGACAGCTAGGAACACTAAGAAGTAAGGGATCTTGAACGCTTCCGGAGAGATGGCGAGAAACCCAAGTCCCATCTTAGAGGCGTGGAAATCTGGATGGTGCCAGAAGTCTCCACAACTAGGCTGGGGGGCAGTAGGAGGGAGTTACTCTCCACCAGCAATCCTATACCCAGCTACACTGGGGGACGGGTGGCATCAAGACATTTTAAGGTATGCAAAATCTCAAGAAATTTACAAGATTTACTTCCCACGTCACTTTCCTCAGGAAGTTACTAGACAACGTGCCACACCAAAAAATAAAAAAAAAAAAAATAACCCCAAAAAACAAAGATTATCAAATCAAGGGGGAACACTTTGGCAAGAAAGGGCGTGCTACACAGTACACTACTTGACTCAGGAGTGAACTGTCGTTATGTGTCTACACTGAAGAGACATGTATGAAATAATGTGATGTAAGCACATCAGGGCCACAAAGTGGGGGACAGAGAAGGGTGAGACCCACCCCATCTACCATAATAGAAGTTGCAGGTGCTTCTAATTTAAAACAGGAAAATAAGCATAAGCATGTTATGCAGCAATGCAAAGGTAAATAATAAGCAATAGCTAAAAGCTTTGAAAGTGTTGCTTCTAGGGAACCAGACTTAGGGGACTGCTAGTTTTCATGAGAAGCCATATGGTACTTGTTTCTTCATAAACTATGAATATGTATTACTTGGATAAGAATTAAAAGTCAGTTCTTTAAAAAAAACACTCAAAGCCATGGGGTGGTCTGTCCTGCAGGCTTCTCTAGACACCTTTGATACCCGACTTCCTCTCTAATGGAAGCCTAGACCCAAATGAGAATTTTTTTGCCTTCAAAGAAGAAATCTGTTTACGGCCAACTGGAACCAAACGATTTTTAGGCAATGGGCCACTGGGTGGTTCTACACAGTATTACATGTTGTAACAGGTAGGAGAATCAGCCTGCAGAGATTTTTTGGAACAAGGTCTAGCCCCGTAAAATGGAATGATTCATGTTTGGGTCAGCTTCTCCCTGGCTCTTCCAACATCTAGTTTAGACAAGGACCGCGTGGTGTCCGGGGTTATGAAATACCACACATGGCATCTGTACTATCCATATCTCTGAGCTTCCAATGATGCCAAGGGAGCTCAGTAATTAGCCCGTTCTCCACGGGACGCTTGGCCTTTAAGGTGGAACCGCTCCAAGCTCTTGACAGCTTTCGGCACGGAAGGCTCAGATTTGTTCTAAGAACCAAGGAGGCGTGAAGGCAGGCTATAACCAGAATGGGATTTTGGCTGTCACTTATCAAAATATGCTATGTAAATTCTTTTGGCCATGCTGGAATTCTGTAAACTTGAAACCCGTTGCCTGAAATTTTAAGCAAGCTTCTCGCCTCGCTTGGAGAGAGCTCTGATTCGGGAGGAGGAACAATTACCAGCATGGCAGCCAACCGGCTGTCCTAGCGGTCAAGGGCACTCCAGAGGTCACAGGGGCCAGGCATGAAAATGAATGCAGCTTCTTCGCTGGGAAAATACGAGTGCAAAGCAAAGGTTGTAGCTGGTCCCAGTTTTTGGTTTTGTTTAAATGAGGACATCTTTATCCAATCATTTTTTTTTTTTAAGGACACTCATGGATGGTTTCATTAAAGAGGGGCCAGCTCTGGACCAGACATCAGGCGGCACAGACACCCTTGCAAGTCTGTTCCTGGTCAGCTGTGTGACCCTGGTCAACCCGCTCTGCCTCTCTGGGCTCAGCAGACAAGAGGCTGTTTGAGGTCCTCTCCTGACCTACTGGTTTGTACCTCCTTGACCTACTGGTATGTGATTTTTAGGAGTACGGCTCAGAGAGGAAAGGCCAAGGAAGAGGAAGCAATACGAGGGCCCCAGGGCCTGCAACTTGGTTGGAAATGGGGGTGGGAGGGTGGTGCAGGGCAGAAGGAAGATGGGAGGGTGGGTGGAGGTCTCCCCACAAACCGCCTGCTCTAATCTACTTTTCCAGGTACCTTCCAGAATGTCTTTCAAGAATCCCATTACGACCAGCCACGAAGGCTGTCCATGCTGACACCCCAGCTCCAACGTCAGCCGCAACTTGTCCTGAGCCCAGCCATTCCTGCACTCCTCCTCCGAGATTCTCCCCTGGCTAAGACGTCATTTGAAAGGAGGGTTCCATGGGTGGAAAACATTTGAAAATCACAGCTTTAACCTCAATCCAATCAACACCAAATTGAACGTCCACCCTCTCCTCCCCTGCTCCCTCCAAAAATATTAGGGTGACAAGAGTGCACCCTAGCTCCGTACACAACCCCCACTTTCCTCCTTGGGTTTGCTGTTCTGGAAGACAGCAGCTTTGTACTGCTCGGATATAACCAACAGCCAGGCCACAACAGGTGCACGGACACCCAGCACCCTCACTCAAACCCTGCTCTGGGAGGAATATGGGGCAGTTTTCTTCCTCATGGAGGTCCCCCGTGGGGCATCCCCCCAGCTTGTTCCCATCAGGAGGACGTCCTCTGTAGAGGTAGGTCACTCGAGTCCATCCGGACCTTAAACACCTGCATGGGGGATGAGCTATGACCCAGCTTATGGCTAAACAGGAGCAAGGACGCTTCCTACCTGATGAAGCAGGCACGCAGGATCAAACGCCACCCGACGCTCTAGTCTGACACACACCTGCATGTCGAGGACGCAGCCAGGGAGAAAAGCACGCTCAGCACTTAACAGGACAGAAAGGAAACTGGGGAGAAGCAGGGAGAGGGGGGCTGGTTCCCTGCGGCCCTCTACCGTCTGCACAGGTGCCCCCGTCCAGCCCCTAATAACAGTGAAGGAGGAAGAGCTCCCGCCCCCTGCTCAGGGGCCTGTGGATTTTTATTATGCAGACACGCACATCAGAATCTGTTGACGTCCAGCTGTGGGAACAGCAGCAGGCAGTAAACCAGGAGCCAGAGGAAGACAATAAAATACATCATATCCGGCTGCTGGACAAACTGTGTCAGAGAGTCGCTCTGGGGGCTCTGGCTCTCTAGCAATGTGGCTTCGCCAGAGTTGTTGGCCTTCCTGCAGGAGGGAAGACACAGGCAAGGCAGTTAGTCTCGGGTCCCAGGTCGGAGGACTCCCCCACCCTGCCTCCCCGGCCTGTAACCTCACTGCCCAGTGGGAGAGCCCAGGGCTTCCCAGCCAGCCGGTCAGGAAGCCCCGCGGGGCAGGTGCCGACCCAAGAGGAGGGCCGGGGTCCCGGGAGAGCGCTGCGTTTTTGCGCAGGCTCGGTTTATCCGCACAACCCTAGGAGGGCTGGGCCGTCAGCCCCATTCTGCAGATGGGCATACTGAGACTCACGGGGGGCCGTGGCTGGCTTGCTCAAGGCCACACAAGGACTAAACTCCCCCACCCCCCTCATCCAGGACACCTTCCTTTATGTCACGGTGTCCTTAACGCAGAGCTGGACACTGACGGCACTCTGCCATCTGTCACTAACAGAGGGGACGTCATAAGTCATCTAAAGGAATAGAGTGCCCTGATTACAGATCATTTAAAAACAGCCATCGGAGACACAGGCACGACCCGCCCCCCACCACCCGGCTTCTGATTTTGGCTTTGGAATAGAACCTTGAAGATAATGGCTATACTTGACTTTGGTCCGACTAGTCTTTCTTCTTTTGTGTTACAGAGGGTGTCCAAGTGACGTTTCACTTTGGCTTGGTGGATAAAACCTACGAGGGTGAGGGGGTGACCAACCACAGCTCCCAGTTCCGGCCAAGGAAAGGGCTGGGGGCATCATCTGACTGGAAGGGGGTTGGGGGCTTCTGCTTAGACCTGCATTTATGGAAAACTCAAGTGTGAGCTTCTTAGGGTCATCTGGGGCGGGCAGTGGAGATTATGAGGAGGGAAAACCACCTCATCCCTGATCCGTGTCCTGATGCAGAGTCCAGGCCAACAGGGGGTTAAACGATGGCCTTTTGGTCTAGGGACTCATTCACGTATGACAACGGACAGAATTTTTCTTTCTTAAAACTTAAAATTTAAACTCTATTTATTACAAAGGTAATAAATGCTCCAAAACATTTGGAAAGCATGACTGCATTTCTTCACCTTCTAGTTTAAATTGTCAAAGTCTCTATCTCCTGAAAGTGAAAAGCACTACTTTCCTAAGGAGTCTGTCATGCCCGGTGGACAACGTGAATTAATATTTCCGTTTTACGGCAGAGGAGGGAAACAGGTCTTGCCTCTGGCCAGAGAGACAGGCTTCTAAGGGTCACACTCATGGGTGTTGGGCGATATTCAGAGAGGCTTTTCCACTCCAATAATCTAAGTCCTTCCAAGCCAATTGAAATCCGTGGCAAATATTTAAAAAAAAAAAAATCAAGACAATTAAGTGATTCGGTAACTTTAACAGGGATGGGGGATCTCCGGATTGCCCGAGTTTGGGGGATTCCTCTGGGCTCCTGTGTTCTACACGGGCTGTGATTCAGCAAGATCTGCCTAGGCCATCTAGTTCTCGAACAGCAAGAAATACTTTCATAGACATCCTGGCATGTTTGTACTCCCTCTTCATGTCTGCTCTGATGCCATAAAACTGTAAAATCAGCTCAGTGAGCTTCTGAGTATTGTACCTGCAGTGGCGACACAGAATGAACACAGCGTCAGGGGCAACCGGGTGGAGACCACACCCAGCATCACATCTCTCCTGCCCCACTCTACCCCTCCCCTGCTGCATGGTACAAATGCAGCCATAGGCTCATGACCCTGATCCGGCTTCAAACGGAAGCATTATCTGAACCCTGTCCCGCCCCCCGGTGTCCATCAATTTCCACTCTCCCTCCTGCTTATATCCAGTTTCCATTCATTTGCTCTGCACCAGGTATCTCCTTGCACGAGCTCAGGCGATGACTATGGCCATCAACCAACGAGAGGTGGAGAAGAGCCACCCCACAAAGTAGACTGCATCATGGAAAAAGAAAAAAATATATATATCTATAGACCCCACAAAACTTGCGAGGAAAGCCACCAACCTGGTTAACGTTCGGTTTCTTCTGTCATCCAGATCTGCTGCATTCCTCAACTGAACATAGCTAACATGATCCTACAGTGAAATTTATAAACAAAACCCCCGCAACCCAATTAGTAAAGATGAAATCTCTGAAACAGAAAATAAAATGATTTTAAACATACAAATCCAAGCATGCAGCGCTGTTCTCAACATTGCAAACATTCAGTTCCCAAATCAAGTTGCTAACTGACGTTCTACAGCATTCTACCCTCTTCCCCAACCCCTGCCTAGTGAATCAGAGAGGCACCACCACCCGCCACCCGAGTTGGGGTACGGACCACGGTGCTCTCGGTCCCAACACAGCCCATGCTAAGAGTCGCTGCCTTAAAGTATCACACGGATATCTCCGAGGGTGGGCTTTCTGGGCGTGGGCACCAGGGTAGGGTTGGGGGTCTTGGGTGCACAAAGAGGCCTTCGGGCTTTACCATCATTTTTTATCACTTTATTTAGTCACACCCCCTACTGCCCACACTGGACATCCCACTGGACTACGCTTAACCACAAGGTTTGAACTTGCTTCTCTTCTATCCAAAAGTCTATCTGTTGCACATCAGTGATTTCAAAGCTCTGGGCTGAGGAGGAGGAGGAAGGATGGAAGTGAACTGATTAGCAGGGGTCATGCAGAAGAAGAAATTCACATACTAACCGATTCCAAAGACCTGTTAGTATGTCGTCGAATGTAAATGCTGGAGTCACTGTGACTAGTCCTGAAAAACAAACACACGTTTTGAATTGGTTGCCACCAAGGGCTCTTCAGGGCTCAGCTGTCCGGTCACCCCCATCCCGAGTCCTCCACCTGCGGATCTAAGGCAAGCTAGGATTTCGGACCCAGCAACGGAAATCTTATCCAGTATGCCCCGTTGGGTTGGGGTGTGCTTACAAATAATGGGATGGGTATTAGAGACACACTGTGGCCTCATCTACAAAAAAAAAAAAAAGCAAAAGTAACAGTGAGAAAGAATTTTAAATAGAAAGCAGACCACATATTTTTCAAAGTCCTAGGGTTCCAGGGAAGGAAGGGAGGTCCTTCTCCAAACAGCCCAAAATCTGGGAATTGCTGGAAGTCCTCTGCTAATATCAGATCCAGGCTGAGACTGGCCATCCGGACTCCCTTTCTAGTGCTCCATTCTGGGCAGAGCGCTGCTGTCTGACTGTCCAGCTCTGGGGTGTGCCACCTCTTTTCCTTTCATACCCGAGGAGGCTCATTTTCTGACCGTATCTTTGAGGCTGATGTATGTCTGATCATCTACTAGAGCTGGTTCACACGGGGCTGAGGCAAAAGATACCCAGCCAAGCAGCCTGGGCTCCTGATTAACTGGCCATCTTAGCCATATATTGTAGGTCTCTGATCAGTTTTCCTCATCTGTAAAATGGGTCATCATTCCTTCCCCAACTACTTCATGGAGCTGCAGTGCTGGTGGTATGAACAGTATACTCCAGGTCCCAAGGGCCCCGTCTTGCTGCTCAACAGGAGAACTAGGGGTTGGGTGTCAGAGAGAGCCAACTCAGTTTCCTTAAGGCAAACCTCCCATGTGGCATCTGGGGCTCCAAGAAAAAGGCATCTGACCCAAGAGTTTATTCCCTGGGAATTCATACCTGGCAGCCTTGGTAATCCTGCCTGCTGCCATCCCAAAGCTTCACCAACCTCTTCCCCTGCCTTGGACATGTTTCCAGCTAATAGGCATTGAGTACCTACTATGTGCCAGGCGCTGGGTGCGGCCCCAGGAAACTTCAGTCCTTGCCCTCAATGCAAAGCCTGTGCTAGTTTCCCCAGCAGGTATCACAGCACAGGAACAAAACAAAACGTATCACGAAGGAAAAAGAGCCTCAGGTGTCAGGGACCCAGCACTGTCCCACTTCACGGGAGTGCCCGGAGACGAAGCCCGACCTGCTCATAGTATTTTCTAGTAAAAAAGCACATCTGCTTCAGGAAGGGCCCCTGTCCTTCTCCCGCCCTCTCTTTTTCCGCCTGCTTACTTGTAGGTGGTTTTTGTGTTCTAGGACCGTCAGGCTTCCCTCCTGAACCTCATTCTTTCACCAGACATTATCAAGAGCCTACTGTGTGCCAGGCACTGGGATTGGCGCTGAGCCCACCCACCACAGCCTGAGAGAGCAATCTGACTCATTCATCATCCACCCGAAGAAGAGTTCTTATTAAAGGCCGGCTGCGAGCCAGGCGTGGCGCTAAGTGCCAGGACTGCTGCTCGCCCTCCCTGCCTCCGGGGAGCTGCTTGCCCATCTCAGGGGGCAGCAGATGATAAACAGAGCCTTACACAAATGACCGGAGAAAGGACTGTTCTGAGAAATTCTGTGAAGAAAGAGAGGTAGGATTGTGAGAACATACGAAGGGGGATTAAAAAGAGCCCAGAGCAATCCAAGAAGGCTACCTGGAGGAAGTGGGAGTGGAGCCAAAACCCAGGGAAGCAAGTCAGGGAACGCGCAGGGGACAGAGGGGGTCCTCAAAGGCAAAGGAGCTTGAGGGACATTCAATGATCTCAAAGAAGGCCAAAGGGCTTGGCAGGCTGGGGAGGAAGGCAGAGGTGACCCAGAGCGGACACGGATGAGCCTGGACAGACAGGTCCTCCAGAGGTCCCACAGGCTCTGGGACAACGGGCCTTTCTGCCTAGACCAATGGGAAGGGCCAGGGGGGACCCAGTCAAGGTACGGTCAGGAAAACAGGCTGTGTCTGGCAGGGAAGGTGCCCAGGGCTCAGTCCCCTGAAAGATAGCTTTAGGCCAGGCACTGACTTTTTTGAGCTCATTTTCTTGGTTGTCAAAGGGGGCAGTGGCCCCCTCTGCATTGCAGGGGGCAGGGGAGATGACGTGGTGCATGGGAGGGGCTCCAGGGTTCCTCACTCATTGCCTCCAAGGAGCGCACCTCTGCCCATCTGCTGAATGGCTGGTAAGAGCTGACTGCAGCTAGAATGCGAGGCAGTACTGACAGCTTTGCCCGGGGTGGGACAGGAAGCCGCGGGAGGGGTGATGCCACCCGCTCCATGCAGATCCGTCGGATCTCTGCCGGGAAAAGCCAACTGGGCCTCCTTCCCGTACACACACCGAGATGACATTCCCCTTCCAACACGGACCTGCTTTGTCTCCTCTTCCCTGGGACGGGTTTTGAGGGCACGGCTGGATGCAGCTGGTGTCCAAGATGCTCGATCCCCACAAGGCTCCCCCTGCTCCTTCTGACCCCCTCACGTCCAGCTAACATGTCCTGTGTGCCTGCTACCGGCTCGGGCTATCTCCTCCACTCGGGATGCCTTCTCTCCTCGCCCCCAAATCCAGACCCCACTGTCCCTCCGTGCTGAGCTCGAAGAATATTGCACACTTTCCCTCCCGCTTGCCTGAGCCCCCGGGGGCTGGGGCCGTGCCCGCGTCACCGCTGCGGCTGACATCTTCCCAGAGTAACTGGTCAAGGAGCACTACCAGCTGCCCTGCCTAGTTCTCCCGACTAGATGACCAGTGGCTCCTCCCTGAGCTGGAGTGACAAGATGGCAGCCCAGGCACCTGCCTGCTAAGCCACGGATGTCTGCTGGATGGCCAATACCATGTCCCTATATGGAGAGGGATTCTGGAGTCATGTGCAAAGTGGGTGGCAGTGTTTTGCCCCTCACCTGGGCTCCCATCTAGACGCCTTTTATCCTCTGTAGAGCAGGTGCAGGAGTAGAGCGGAAGGGAGATGGAAAGCAGGACCCCTGCCAGCCCTTCCTCCGGGTCCCCCTGCCCTGGCTTCTCCCCACTCTCTCCCTAAATGCTGATCTCAATGATTGCCCTTTTGCAGCCAGTGCAGCTCACTGACCACAGGCCAGAAAGGCTCACGGGGAGAATGTGGGTCATGGAGTCTGACAGGTCTGTATCTGAGACCCTAGCTCTGCCGTCCCCCAGGCTGGGCGGCACACCCAGAGCCTCTGTGCCCACCATGGTGACACACAGTCCCTCCTACCCACCTCGGGTGCTGCTGTGAGAATCAAAGAGGGAGTGGATGGGAAACACTTGAACGCATCAGGGCAGGTCAAACAGTGGCTATCAGGGGGCTGGGGTGGCCCCAGAGCCTCTGAGTTGGTGACGTTCCACGCCCCACACCTACTCCGCTTCCGCCATCTTGCTGCCCACTGCCAGCTGTCCCCCCAAGGTCCTCGGAGTGGGGAGAAGACAGGCCTCAGGTCCTTCCAGCTCTCTGGGCAGGGCGGGGCAGCCCAGGTGGAGAGGATGAGGGTGAGTCTCTTTCTGATTCTGGCAAATGACCCATTGGCCAGATGAATTTTGTATGAAGCTGTGTTTCCCTTGCTGTCCGGTCCCACCCCTCTGTGTTCCCGCACTCTGAGTCTTCGAATCAGAAACCAAGAACGGAATGAGTTCAGGGAGGAACTCTTGAGCTTGGTCACTAGGGAAGAAGAGAGTAACAAGATACCTGGAGAGGACTTTGTGGTCGCCAGTGTCTTCTTCGAGGTCATCTGAGGATCGGACGCTACCAGGTGCTATAAATATGGAACTTTCTACGTGGTCCACGTGCTTCCTTTTCTCCTTTTTTTTACTGCTGATCGATTCTCCCATTACCTTTTCTTCTAAAGAGTTTGCTAAGTTTCCCGGGTTTCCGAATTCCTGGGACTTAAGGACAAGACAACCAAACACAAGTCAGAGTTTCATGCTGGGAGGCCCAGTGCGTGATGCGCTCCCCCCCCCCCCGGCCCCCACCAGCAGCGCTCCACTCCACCGAAGTCCAGGAAGCTAGGGCGACCCCTCCAGTTCTGCCCCTCCTGGGGAGTCCTTCCAGCATGGCCTGTCGTGGAAGACAAGCCCACCCGCACTCGGGCTCCCTGGGCAGAGGGCAAAGGCCAGAGACTGTAAAAACAGCATGGGTTTCAGAGTCACTCAGACCTGCTTTCACCTCCCGGCTGAGTTAGTTAGCTTACCCAGTCGATTTCTCTTGCCCTCAGTCTCCTTATCTGTCTGATGGGAATAATCATGATCAGTCTTTTCTCACTACACCACAGTGTTTCCCATGAGGGCTGCCCCGTACAGTGGACCCCGCATGGTCCATCCGCTTAAACAGAGGAGCGGATCCGGGAAGCCAGGTGGGCCACCAGGTGCAAAGGGGGCCCCTGAGCTGGGAGAGGTGCCCACACACACAAAACCATAGCTCGTGGGAGGACAGCTTCACTGTGCCTTTGGTGGCTCACAGGGCAACATATCTAGCATCTCTTTGGCGAGGAAGATTCTTTGATCGCTGTCCACAGTGGGCAAATCTGGAGCCCATCAGCAACGTTCCAGAGGGAAGTTAAGAAACCGAGAAGCAGCGGTGCCTGGGTGGCTCAGTCGGTTAAGCGTCTGCTTTTGGCTCAGGTCATGATCTCAGGGTCCTGGGATCGAGCCCTGCCTCGGGCTCCCTGCTAAGTGGGGAGCCTGCTTTTCCCTCTCCCTCTGCCTACCGCTCCCCCTGCTTGTGTATGCTCTCTCTCTCTGTTCAATTAATAAGTAAAATCTTAAAAAAAAAAAAATTGGAAGCCAAGAAGCCTGGGGATTGCTGGAGCCCCCTCTCCCTGGGTGTTACACTGTAAACCACGAATCTTGGAACACTGCATCAAAAACTAATGACATATTGTACCATGACGGACATAACACAATTAAAAAAAAAAAAAAAGAGTCCCTTCAGGGGCTGGAAGAACCCGCTCAACAGGTATGGGAAGCTGGGGATTAGCGGGGCTAGTCCCCCACTCCAGGAGAACAAAGGTCCTTGCAGGAACTAAAAAAATGCTCCTAGCAATTTGGAAATGCCAGTTCCTTCTCTGGGATCCAGGGGCCAACGCTACCTTTTTTGAAAGGTGAAATGAGAGGAGGACATTTTTTTTTTTTTAAGACTAGAAGAAACTTTCCACGTTCTAGTCTTCTTGGAAGACTTTAATTTTTTTTTTTTTTTTTTTTTTAAAGAGGCCCAGGTATCCAAGAAATGCTCCTGTGTCATCTTGTCTGACAGGAGGCAAGACTCCCAGGCCTCACCTATCCTTCTGGGCCCCAAGCCAACCCCCCCTGGGACTACTGGGGCCCCATGTGGGAGCCAAGGACCAGGTGTGCTTGGGGGCAGCAGTGGGTGCCCGTTCACGGGAGGGGCGAGCGCCACGGGAGGCAGGTCAGAGCCCAGAGACGGAAATGGTGGCCCACTGGACCCAGGAATAGAAGCTCTCCCCAAGGGCTCATGCTGAGCTTAGTGTAGGGTAGTCAAATCTACGTCTCCCAATTCCATTCCCAGCCCAGGACTCGTCCAGCTACACCCCAGATCACCTGTCCATGCGCTAGGCACATGCACCCATACCACCTGCTCCTGGCAAAGAACTTCTGTCTTTGTAAAGCAGAAGGCAGTAAAGGACAGGTCTGCAAGGCCGCAGGGACATTCAGTCTGCCCCGGGGGAGGAAGGGAGCTGCTAAGAAGCCATTTTAAATAGTACAGACGGGCAGAGATGAAAATTAGTTTTTCTTCCTGTCACCCACTCAGTCCCCTTTCTTCTGTCCTAAAAGATCTTCTGTCCCTTAACAGTCCCGAGAATTGCTGTAGTTGTTGTCATGGTCCCCCAGCCTGGGGACCCCAAGATCTGGTCTTCCAGCAAGTCAGCAGACAGCAGGTGGGGGTGGTGGTGCAGCCCTGGGCCCGGGTTCCTCACCCTGGAGGCAGAAGGGGCAGGTGGCAGGTGGGTCCGGGCACCTGCGGAACTCCCCCACTCCCTTCTCTCTCCAAACACAGACACAGCATCGGTCCTGCTGTGCTTGCTTCTAGGTCGTCACTGTCGGAGAATTCTGCTCCACCCAGTGCGTTCTCTGGGATTGGCGAACCAGAAGACCAAGCCACCCCTTCTGGCCCATCTAAATCCTACGGGTCTTTTGTGGGGCTACTGGGAGTGTCCCTTTCTCTGGAAGCCCTCGTGCAAGGATTTCTCATTCCCCTGAGCGCCTTTCAGCCCCTCCCTCAGCCTTGACTCTCCCCTGCTGCAAGCCAGAGTGTCATCTTTATCTTGGCCTTTGACTTGACCCTACCTGTCGCCTTACACCTCCCCAAGCCATCATGCAATCCAGCCACCTTTGTTTCCTGCACCTCAAGCCCTCCCAGGCTGCTCTCCAGAATCTGAAGATTCAAATGCTCACTCTTCTGCTGGGACAGAAAATCACAACCTACCACACCAGGCTAGCAGAAGAGTCGAGAGCTGTCATGCGTTGCTGGCTATAGAGGAGAAAGCAACTGTTCTGCCTGGGGAGAAGTTAGGAAGACTCCTAGGAGGAGGTGTCACTGACACTGGGCTTTGAAGGGGGCATCACTGTTTGCCAAGTGAAGCTGAGGGAGGCAGAGCAGAGTGTGGAGTGCCTGGGAGCCTGGGGGAAGGCTGGCTTGGCTGGAGGGGAGGGAAGGGAGAGGACCGAGAGGAACAGCAGCTCAGGGCACCCTGTACCCTTTCATCACCCATGCCGGTAGCCCTTCAAGCTGCTGGGCCAGGCAAATGGGGATACGAAGTGGTGGCTGAGTGTGTGCCCCGCTGCTAGAACTCTGAAGTGCATGTCCCGCGCTTGTAAGCAGACAATGTACCAACAGGCAATTTTCAAAACTCAAGGCCAGAGTCAAGTGTGAGTGCACTGGGTTTCCTCAGGCTGCTGCAGGAGGCGGGGCTCAGGTTCACTGAGCGTGCACTAGATGTAGCTATGAGTAGCACTGACAGTAATCACGGCTACCACTACCCTTGGCCCTTAAACATGACCTCATTCCATCCCCTCGGCTCCCTTGGGTGGAGGGCCAGGGCTATGGGGAGGCCAGGGAGGCACCCGACGTACAAGTCTCAGAAGTGCCGAAGGGTGCCAGCCCCGTCCTTGCCCGAGCCTGAGCGAGTGCCTCCGTAAATTCTGGCCTGGGCTGCCCGTGAGGGAATCTTTTCCTTCTCTATTTTGTGGAGGGAGAAGAGCAGAGTCCTCATGTAGGGCCCAGGGTTCCCGAACCCATGATCAAGTACCTGCTGGTTCTCCACGTGGGAACGGTCTTCAGCCTCCCCTTGCTGGTGGTCATCTGGTGGGGACAGGTCGGCAGGTTCTGAGGCCAGTCTGGCATCTTCCACACCCCCAACGGGACATGGCACCGCGGGGATACTGGCCTCGGGGACATCCTCGCCCAGCCCCAAGAAGCTGCAGCTGCTCTGAGACACCTCGACCTCCTGGGCCTCCTCGGCCTTGTCCCTGGCCCCCACATCACACAGATAGCCGTCCGGCTCCTCGAGATCCAGGTCTTCGTTTTTCAAGTCCTCCGAGCCCTCTGCATAAGCCTCCAGAACCGCAGCCAGGGGCACCTCATAGTGCGGGTAGTAGAATAGCTCGTGGGGGATGACGGAGACCTTGGACAGCGGCGGGGAGGGCTTGAAGTCCAGGCCCTCCTCGCTGCGACTGTGCAGGGTCTCCAGGCTGATGCTGCTGCTCGGCGGCTCAGAGGGCGCCTCCCCTTCTGGCCCCTGCAGCCCTGCAACCTCCCCTTCGTCCTCGTCCAGATGGCGGCGTGTGGACTTCCGCTTGGGCTTCTCGTACACCTCCAGCTTCGTATCAGCAGGAGCCCCTCCTGGGGCCAGAGAATGGCCTTGGTCTTCTTGCCTGGGGTCCTTGTGAGGTTCAAGCTTACTGGGCCTCTCCGGGGACTCATCCGAACCTTTCCTCTGGTGCGCAGACTTACTTCTCCTCTTCCCCAGTTTCTCAGCCTGATTCTCCAAAACCTCCTCCTCCACTGGTTCTTTCTCATGAGGCCAAGAAACCTCCTTGAAAGCCTGGCTGGTTGAGGCAAAATCTATGAGGTCCTTGTTAAATGTAGAGGCTTTTAAAGGAACGTCTTCATAATAGTCTTCGTTACCCATAGCTTCTACGGTCAGCAGCTTGACCTTGATCTCCAAGGAATCAGCCATAACAGTGTTGTCACCGAAGGGTGAAAGTGGACAACTCTCCTCCCCAGGGCTGGCCGCACCCTCTGGCTCCCCGTTCCAGGAGGGAGAACTCTGGGCAGTCTGCAAATGATTGATCTTACCGTCCACCAAAGAGATGTCACCTGGGGACTCATCAGAGGCTGCTTCTGAACCTTTTGGAACCTCCTGTTTTGGCTTTTCCTCAGCAGTCTCAACTGCCAGGATGTACCCATCCTGCTTTGGCAATGAGTCCTTTGTCCCTCTTGGGCTCCCTTCAAAGAGAAGGTCTTGACTGTAGAAAGGGTCCTTACTGCAGGAAGCATCTTTGTAGGTGTCAGCCTCGAAGTGCACAGTTTTCTTGATGGGCAAAGAGTTGGACCTCCGGCTGTCCTTTCTGGATGATAAAATGGAAGATTCTGGAGGTGGGTCATTGGTGCTGCTGGCCTTACCTGGGACCCCTTGGAGGGCCTGGTCGATGATCTGGGGCGTGAACTCGGGGGAGCTGTCTGACAGTGCATGGCTGGACACACCACTAAGGAAGCATTCTTTCTCGCTCTCGGGCTTGTCACAGACAAAGACTTTGGAGGGTGGTGGTTGGCTGGCCTCATGGTTAACAGTGTAGGCTCGCTCCCCGTTTTCAGTCAGAAGGAGCACTGTGCTCTCCTGTTCAGAGGGAGTTTCTTTGATGCGGACAAAGGTGGATTCAATAGGGGCTTCTTTATCTGAATCCATGAAATCTTCCTGCGAAGAAACAGGGCAACATAAAAATCAGGAGCGCTGAAGTACAATGTATATTCCATTTTCATAAAACAAAGACCAACATGGAAAAAGCCACTTCAGAACTAATGCAAAGTGTTCTCATGGAGAGATGCCAATAGTTGCTCTTGTTGAAATGTGAAAACACCAGATAAGTTCAAAATAATGTATTTTTAAAAATTTTTTAAAAGATTTTATTTGACAGAGATCACAAGTAGGCAGAGAGGCAGGCAGGGAGAGAGGAGAAAGCACCTCAGCTCCCTGTGAGCAGAAAGCCCGATGCAGAGCTCGATCCCAGGACCCTGGGATCATGACCTGAGCTGAAGACAGAGGCTTTAACCCACTGAGCCACCCAGGTGCCCCCAAATAATGTATTTTTTTTAAAAGCTATGGGTGCAAAGAAATCTCAAAAAACTGAACTCTAGAAAAGGACCGGCCCTTCCTAAGTGAGTCTCAGCTACTTTACATGGGCAGGCCGTTACCTAGTCTGACCATGGCTAAGACAGTGAACCTACCCAGGCTAAGGAAAGATTAGCTGAATCTTTCTTGACTGCACGGGCCAGTGTGAGAGATTAAATGTGGAAGGGCCCCAAATGCAAAACCAATTGTCTTCATAGACTATTCCTTCCACACGGGGACTTTTGCTAAGAAGCAGCTGAGAGCAGGGGTGGACAGCAGAGAGCCATCTTGGTGGTACTGGCTCCCGGCATACTGGTGGAGAGAGCTGACTGACCTCATCCTAAAATCATTGGAAACTAGGTGGCTGACATTAAGTGAAACTGCAATGTAGCCATTACGGACTCCTGAGAAGGTCAAAACAATCAGCTACTCAACTAGGTCCTTGTTTGGGAAAAGGCTACATGTCTCTGGGGTAAAAATGTTGGCTATCTCAGTCTCTACTGTTCTTTCTTATACCAGGTCTAGCATAAAATATAACATTTTAAGACACAGAGAAGCAGGAAAATGAGATCCATAGTCAAGAGAAACGACAACCATTAGAAGTAGACTCCAATATGACCCAGGGTTAGAACTAGCAAATTAAAAGACTCCAAAAGTAAGGAGGACGACAAGAAATACAGAGGTAGTTCTCCGGGCTGAAGGGAAAGGACCATAGATGGAAGCCTGGATCTGAAGGAGTGACTACAAAGCATCCAATGGTAAATATATGGTCAACATAAAAGACTATTTAAAAACTTTTCTTGGGGCGCCTGGGTGGCTCAGTGGGTTAAAGCCTCTGCCTTCGGCTCAGGTCATGATCCCAGGGTCCTGGGATGGAGCCCCGAATCAGGCTCTCTCCTCAGCAGGGAGCCTGGTTCCTCCTCTCTCTCTGCCTGCTTCTCTGCCTACTTGGGATCTCCGTCTATCAAATAAATAAATAAAACCTTAAAAAAAACCCAAAACTTTTCTTAAAAAGTCTCCTATTTAACGCAGCAATAATAACAAAGCACTTGGGGTTAAAACACAAATAGAAGTAAAGTAAATGACAATAATAGCCCAAAGGAACAGAGAAGCAAATGGAATTGCATTGTTACATACTTAAAAATGCATACAATATGCATTTTACTCAAAGCAATATAACAATTCAAGGCAGACTAAAGTAGGTTCAAGATGAGTATTATAATCCCTAGAGAAGCTACTGCAAAGATAAAACAAGGAGACGTGGTCAAAAAGCCAACAGAGGAGATAAAATGGAAACCAAAAAAATCAAATAATAATAATAAAGAAGTTAGGAAGGGAGGAACAAGGAGCACAGGACAGACAGGACCAATGAAAAAAAATAATGGTAGATTAAATCTATGTCAATAGTTCAGAAACACACTAATAAAATGACTCACCAACTCTTGTGAGAATGGATAAAAAAGAAGACCTAACTGTATACTGTTTTTGCAAGGACCTGCTTTAACTATAAGCACACATACACTGGAAAGAAAAGATGGAAAAAAAAAAAAAGGTAGATCATGTCAACACTAATCATAAGAAAGCCGGTATGGTTATATTCTCATCAGACAAAGTATACTTTAAGACAAAGACCAAAACAGCAGAAAAAGCCAATGATCAAGGCATCGGAAACAAACAACAATCCTAAATGTGTGTGCGTTGATAGCACAGCTTCAACATCAGAAAGCGAAAACTAACAGAACTAAGAGAAACCTATCCACAACCACTAAAAGTTGGAGATTTTTAACATTTTCCCCTCACACTAGTTGATGGGGAAAAAAAAAATCAGTATGTGTACACGATACTAGAAGAACAGAGTAACCAACTCTATCTAATCAGTATTCAAAAAAATGTTCATTTTTTCACTGCCTAAGGTACCTTCTTTCCAAGTGCATGCGATCCATTTACTCAAAGAAACCATATGTTGGGCCACAAAGCAGACACGGTGTCTGGCACATGGCTGAGTTCGGCTTACCCAAGGTTTAGGAAGATGAATTACATTCAGCTGAATGGTTAAGAGACCACTGAGTGAGTGTCTAGATCGGCTGGGACTTCCCACCTATATTCCCTTGAGGATGTATATGGTCAGTTCTGCAGTGATGTGCTGTGTTCTGTGAACCAGGACCACTCTCTCCATGTATCTTTCCTCATTCAATCTCTTTCCTCCCAGCCCCAGTCTCCGACCCCAGCACTGGGGAGGTCCAAGTGTCAGATCTGCTGAATCTTGGCTATGACCTTGACTCACATGGTTACCGTAAGATTCAGTTGATTTCAGACTCTGCCTACAGCTTAAGAGCTCAGGGTTCATAAAGGCGCTCTGTGGTGCCTAGCATCTCAGAATTTAGTCATGGGCAGAGAAAATGGAATTATAAAACAGTCACAATCACCACCCTTTGCTGAGCATCAACTGTCTGGCAGGCAGAAGACTGGGTACTTTACATCATCAATTTATTCTTCATGCAACTCTGCCATATGGGTAATATTTTCATTTCACTCATAACACGTATCAGAGATGTTAAGTAAGCAGCTCAAGGTCACACAGCTTTAAGTGGCAGAACTGCCATTCCAGCCCAGGGAATTCCTTTTAGGCACCTTGGGGAGTGATCTGTGGTGCAGGGACAGGGGGAAACATAGACACACAGAAAGGGAATGGAATGAGAGCCGAGCCACAGCACAGGAGGACCCCATCTGGCTCTTTGGAGGTGCACGAAATGGGGCCTCAGTTTCAGCCACATGTTGTAAGGGATCTAAGAGCCTGAACTGAGGAGTCACAGAGACCTGGGGTCTCTCAGTAGCCGTGACCCTGGGGTGGTCTTTGAGCTTCTCTGACCATCTGTATCCTCATCTGTAACACACAGAGCCACGTCGGGCAGGAGGGGCAGCCAGCCCGGAGACACGCAGGGCACCGATCTGACCAGCCTCCAGCTCCAAGTGCGGCTCTGCTCCTCGTCAGCATCGGCTTCTCATGCTTACTCTGCTTCTGTCTAGTACTTAACCACCACCTGAACCTCTAGAATGTATTTGTTCACTTGTTAACTGGTTTATCTAGTAGAACAAAGCTGTACCAGGTCAGGGACCTCATCCATCCAGCTTACTGCTGAGTCCCCCTGAGCGTGTCTGGTAAATTACCAGTGAATTCAATAGAGATTTACTGTTACGTTGTTGCCATCACTATTATCATATCAAGTTTGTCTTTTTTTTGCACACTCTGATAAAATCTGATAAACTGCTAAAATGTTCCATCGGACGCCTAGAGGATCAGGTCACCAATCCATGTGACAAGAGAGCACCTTCGACAATCTCAGTGAAGTCTGCTATGGGAAGATGTCTGCAAGAGGTATGGCTAGCCAATTTGCCATCCTGCTTTTAAACGTAAACCTTATCTATGATTCTGAAATTAAAATGTGCCAAGGCAACGCTCAAGGGACTTGAGATCCAATTTTGACTATCCCTGCTTGTTGCACAGAGCAATGCGGCCTGAACCCCAGCTTTGTGTGATGCCAGCAGATGCGAATGTACACTTTCTGTATTAAAGGTAAGGGAAACAAACATACGGCCTCCAGCTCCGGGAAATGTTCCAGAAACTGTGCCACGTAAGTCACGATAGACTGCTCGTCTGGCGTGTCAACCATGATGTCTGTCAAGAGAGACACAGGAGTTAGAAGGACGGCAATCGTGTGATGTTTAAACACGATCAAGGGATGCTTCATGGTTTAGAGCCCCCCAGAACTTTGAGTTTTTTTTTCTCTTTGTTTTGTATTTGAGGAAATTTAGACCCAGAGGGGATGAATCACTTGACTACAGTCTCATATCTGGCTGATGGACAGCGGAGCTGCTGAAGAATCCAGAATTCCTCATTCCCAAGGCTGTCCGTTATTTCCTGCTGAATTCCCACCTCCTCCTGCTCTCCCCACCCTGGGAGCAGCCCGCTCCCTGCTGGCCCCATCAGGGAGTCCGCTGAGTCAGGACCCTTCCTCTCTGCTGGAGGGAGTCCCAAATCAGCCCCAGCTATGCGGAAAGCAACCCGACAGACAGCCAAGCACCTTAGAAAGGTGCTCACTTTCCAAGTCCGGCATTCCCCAGGCGGCGTCTGGTCCCGGAGGATATCCTGTGGGACGCCCGCTGAGGTCCGTTCAGTAAGATGGTCACTGCAGGTTATGTATAAATGTGACTATTTCCCAAACAACCTCAGTGTCCCCCGGGGGTAGGAGACCTAAGGAGACTTTTGGTATGCCCATGAGCTAGGCCACTGTGTAGAAATGTATAACAGAGACATGACAGCAACAGGCACAGTGCTGCTGTCATAATTACAATGCTAAGTAAAAAAAGCAAAAGACAGGCAGTGGGGACGGAGAGCACGGTTATCACGAGCAGCACTGAGCAATGTAGAGAACTGCTAAATCACTAGACTGTACACCTGAAACAAATACAACACTGTATGGTAACTATGCTGCATTAAAATAAAAAACTTAATTACAAAAAGTAAAATATAAAACCACAGCTGACCCTGGAATGACTCGGGTTTGAGCTGGGCGGGGCCACTCATACGCAGATTTTTTTCCCCCCCAAAAAACACGGTACAGTCCTATAAATGTATTTTCTCTTCCTTACGTTTTCCTTAGTAACATTTTCTTTTCTCTAGCTTACTTTACCGTAAGAACACGGCGCATAATATATATAACGTACAGAATGTGTTAATTAACTGGTCATGTTCTCAGCAAGGCTTCTAGTCAGTAGTAGGCTACTGGCTGTCATGTTTCTGGGGGGTCGGAAGTGACCCGTGGATTTCCAAGTATGGTGGGCCAGTCAGCACCCCTACCCCCCCACGTTGTTCAAGGGTCACCTGTATACATGCACCAAATGATCTCAATTATATTAAAAAAAAAATGTAATGAGACGTGCGGAAAAATACTAAGGGGCAGGGATATAGGAAATACATACACGTCTCCATTAGATTTTTCTATACCAAATTTGTCTACATCTTATGTCACAAAAATTGTTAACAAGCAAAAAAAGAGAGAGAGAGAACGAGCGCTACCTTCTGGCTCCAGGAGCCTGGGGATGTGGAGGGCCTCGTGCGCGATGCTGAAAGCCTTCTCCAGGTTCTCCCGCATGGAGTCTTCCAGGGCCTGCTTCATGTCCACCAGGCTGGGGTCGATGGCCTTGATCACCGCCAGGAAGGCCATCCCGCTTCTCCAGCTGCCGGCAAAGTCCTGCACCGCCACGCCATACCTGCAGCAAAGCGGCCACGCTGTGGGTCAGGACAGGCACACCCCTCCCCAGGGAGGAGCCCACACATGGCAGCCTCACAGGCCTCGGAGCCCCCCGAGCTGCCGATTCGCAAGGCCCTGGGTCCCAGGAGAGCAGTGCCGAACCACCCAGATCTCCATTTCCAGGGAAACAGAATAATGTTAGAATAATCTAGAATAATAGAAGAGAAAGGTATAATTTGCACTGAGAGGCCAAATATAGGAACTTGTGCTCCCAGATTCCCAGACACATAATGGAGCAACTCTGCACACTGTGAAGGTCACTCTGCAGTGAGGGTCACAACAACCAATCGGGCCGTGCGGTCAACACCCAAGGTCACAGCCTGGCTGCCCCCTGTGCATTGCCAGGGGCGCAGCCACGCTGTGGCGAGTCCCGGATCCTCTGACCCTCCAGCTCCTCAGTTGTAAAATGGGGATTGTCTCATGACGACCCTTTGGTGGCTGTCGGGGGGAAGCGTTAGGTTTTGCCCACGTGGCACACACAAGCCACCAAGTAAGTGGCAGCCAATGTCATTATTCCTATCAAAAACATCAACAATCTACAAGTGAGGGATAGAGAAAGACAGAGTCCTGCCAGGCACTAATTTCCTTTAGGATCCATCCCAAGACACCACCTATCTCCCAACTGTGGTCACTGACCTCTCTGAAAAGAGAGTTTCATTTAGAAATCACTTAAGATTGCTAAGAAGCTGGAAAAGTGGGTACAGAGAGCTCCCATACCGTTCGTCTGGCTTCCCTCACGCGTCTTCTGTCCCGAGTCAACCGCCAGAAGCGGGACCCTGACATCGGTGGGAAACTACTGAGCCATAGACCTCACCTGGATTTCTCCAGAGGCTCTCCCGTGGGGGTGGCATAGGGTACAGACGGCGGCCACTGCCATGATACAGACACAGACCCGGTCCACCATCCCGTGGACATGACTTCTCCTTGACTGTCGCCCCACCTCCTGGCACTGAGCTCTCTTTCGGCTGATTTATTTTTTATTTATTTATTTTTATTATTTTTTTTAAAAAAAGATTTTATTTCGGCTGATTTATTTTTAAACCACAAATTTATTTTTAAACCACATCTGTTACTGTTCACTGACTCTATCGGCCCAAACCTGAAGAGCCAACTCTCTCCTCTTTTCTTTTTTCTTTTATTTCCATTGAGTGGGGAGAAGGGGCCCGATGCGTGCTTGTTAAGTGCTAAAAGACCGTGCAAGGCGCTTTCATGAGCTTGTGTCACTTAATCCTCACGGTCCCGGAAGGTGGGTAAGTTACCATCTTGCAGGCGTGGCTGTGATGTGCCAGGAGGGCACTGGGTCTCTGTGTGGCCCTGCAGGGGTGTGGCTCTCATCACAGGTGACCTAACTTTCCAGCCGTCCCCACCCAGGGTTCACCGCCCAGGCGCCCCAAGAGCCGTCAGCTGGCTGCCAGTAAAAGTCTGACACAAAATTGCAGAGAGCCCCGACCTGCTGGCACGGGGTCACCCAGCAGCCCCAGGACCTTTGTTCTGGGTCACCTGTCTCGGTTTTGGCAAGGTTACACCTAACAGAGCACGATACAGCCTTTATTGCTCCTAGTGTTTAAGTTGGTACAGACTCTGAAAGAGCCCCTGAAGCTTAGCAGTGGATACATACCCATCATGAGGATCCAAGAGCCTTTCTCACTTTGGCATTAAATGGCACAAAGCCCCTTTGATTTGTATTCCTATCTTCCTGTCAGTTTTCTGCAAACCAAGCGCTCTGCAAATGCAGCTCTGCGTGTGCAGAAACTGCAGACGCACAGCGCTCCCTGCTCTCAGAGCCTCTAGGAGGCAACAGGTGCATAAGTTAACACATGCTGATGCCCCCTTCCTCGGCCCCACTCCCCGCCCCTGGCCTGACAACAGCACGTGCTGGGCGGGGGACAGGGCGCGAGGGCTTACTTCCTCGTCTTCCTCTGCACCCACGCCAGCAGGGTCCTGATGGCCTTCCTCTGATCCTTCACTGCTACCGCCAGGCTCCTCTCTGTGGTGGGCGTGGGTGGGAAGGAGGAGTCGGAGTCTGTGCCCCCCGAGCCGGGCGACAGGCTGGAAGATGGAGAGTTTCTGCTGAGATTGCCCGTGAGCTCCTTAATCTGGAAGGAAAACAGCATTTCAGGCCCCGGAGACAGTCCCAGGGCAAACCCTTCTCTGCCCGCCGCCGGCCACGAGGAGTCTGGCTGGAGGGTCCAGCTCACACACAACCAGTTCTCCGCACAGGGAAAAGCTGCTTCCTAAAGTACCCGTGACCGCCAGACTGCTCTGTGGGGCTGGTGGTGCGTGTAGACATTTCCCAGGGATGCTCGTTTCTTCCTGGAGTCTCTCTCTTTTGGGGCTTTGGCCATGCACGTCTGCGAGGTCTTCCTGACCTGCTTCTGCCTAGACCTTTCCTCTCATGGCTTATCGGTGCCAGGACGCAGGAGGCGGTTTCAAGCCCCATGCCTATGTTCCTCCTGGTCCTGCTGCCTGGATGTTCCTTTCCTCCATCACCAGAGTCCTGGCTCCTATCATGCGGCTCTCGCACGAAATACAGAACCCCAGGCCCTGCCCCAGAACTACAGAATCAGAATCTGCATTTCAACACCTCCCTCAGGCAATCTGTACAATCTGTACGCACAGCAAAGTCCGAGAACCGGTCTAACGCACTCCTACTCATCCTTTAAAACCCAGCTCTGGCGTCACTTCCTCTAGGAAGTTTACCGCAGTTGCTTGTGCTTGCATTCTAACAACACTCAGCTCATACTTTGATCAGAACCTGCACCACACAGTTCTGTACTATGGGACTGCCTTGTCTGTGGTCCCGAGTGTCAGGAGGGGAGGACTTTGTGTGTGAAGAGCCTGGCACGTAGGAAGAACTCACTAGTCATTTACTGAATGAATGAATGAATGAATGAATGATTGGGAGTAGATTTAAGGCCTTGACCTTGGACACATTTTCAGGATGTTTCCAGCATCGATCGGAAAGTTCCATAAGAGACGTTAGTAATTGGAGCCTGTATATAACACTGTTTTTTTAAGGGCTTTTTTAAGTTCAAGGCTCACACAGAACTGGGTCTGTTGTCCGTAAACCTTGTTTGTGCACATTCCTCTTAGCAACGCAAGCACCGAGAAAAAAGTCCCAACACATTGCCACTGGGCAGGTCACTGTTACTCTTGGCAGGACAATTCAATGAGCCAGGACTTTCTATTTCAGAAGAGGGGATTTTAGAAGACAAAATGCCAGCTTACTCCCTCCTGCTCGGGGACAAGAATTTGAGCTTGTTTTAAATGCCACCCTCAGACTCCAGCCACCAATTCTGTCCTTCCCTATAAAATCCGTGTTTCCAAAAACAGGCTGAAGTCACCAGGGATGGAGAGCAGGGTCTCACCTGTCACACATGCCCCTTCCCACAGCCATCCTCCCCACCGACTCCTTAATTCTCTCTTCTGCGTGTCGGTCATTTTAGTAAAGTAACTCCAAGCTCAGTTTTTGGTTGGAGTGACATTTACTTCATTCATTCATCCATTCATTCATTCAGTAAATGTCTATTTCCCCGCTTTACAACAAAAGATTTTCTGAAATAAATCTGTAACTCCCTAAGTCCCAAGGGGACAGCTCTACCCTTCTGGAGGACGGAGCTCACATCCCTATTAAAATCACAGGGACCCAGATGGTCAGCAATCAGATGGCCCCTGGTTCTTTCTCAAGACGCAGAGAAGTCACAATCCGTCAGGAACACGACACGATCTCACAGTCTCCCTCGACGTGCCCACCCCCACCCCACCGACCCCATTCTGCTGGCCCTAACCAGGCTCAAGGAGATCATACTGTGTGTCACAGAAGTCACTTTACCTGGAAAAAGAGGATTATGTTCCATATCAGCCCAAGAACCAGAGAGGGGTTGCCATCTGCTATTTCTGCTGCGTCGATGCTAACCAGTTTAACCTGTAGAGAAGCAATTGAGGAGCTTAACATGGGGCCTTCCAGAAGGTTGCAGCCTGTTACTTTGTGATGCCCTCGTGGGCCTCTTGCTCTTTCTCGTCTGTATCACTCAGGCTGGCCCGAGGCCACCTCAGGGACCCTCGCGTGCAGAACACACGTAAATGAGTTTATTAAACGTGTCCACAGTACTTACCAGTAGCCGCTATCATAAGCTCCTCATAAGGAGGAACTCGGTTCGACCTCACAAGCACCCCACAACGTAGGTGCTTCTGTTATCCCTACGTGTCGGGTGAGGAAATCTCACCGAGGCCAAATGTGACACGCCTGAGACCCAGAGCCAGGAAAGGTCTTGGTCATTGTTTTCAAGGGGAGATGGTGAGTGTCCGCTGTCTGTTTGCATGCCGCACCAATAGCACAAAACCTCCAGATTTAACACATGTTTGGACAAACACAGAGCACCAACAACAGCAATCATGGACCACCGATGGCTAGGATAATTATCCACTGCTAAGTGCAAACAGCGGCTTGCGGGGGGCGGGGAGGCTCAGTCGGTCGAGCATACAACTCTTCATTTCGGCTCAGGCCATGATCTCGGGGTTGTGAGATCAAGCCCCACGTCGGGCTCCTCACTGGGCACAGAGTCTGCTCAAGATTCTCCCCCTCTGCCCCCCATCCCCTTCCTGCCTCTTTCTCTCTTCCCTCTCTCTGAAAAGAAAGAGAGAAAGACAGACAGAGAGGGAGAAAGAAAGAAAGATAAGGAGAGAGTATTGGTATAAGACTTATACCCTGAGTGTCTGCACCGTTACCAAGTATTTTGGTTAAAATGCTCCCATTACAGAAACTCTTAGGGGACTAACCTATTTATTTAACTATGTTCTGACCACGGGATGATGCTCTTGGTGAATCCCTATGGGACTCGTTTTCAAAGTGTGTTCCCTGGGCCAGGGGCAACAGCATGGCCTGCGATTTGGTTAGAATACACATTCTCTCCTCATCCTCCCGAATCAGGAATCAGGAAGTCCGAGAGCGGGGCCCAGCCACCCGCCTTGGAACCAGAGCTCCAGGTGATTCTGATGCGCGCTCAGGGTTGAGGACGTCCCTTTATCCTGTGAACAGAATCTGAGTGCACAGATCCAGGCACAGATCTGCACCCTTCTGGAAAGGGCGGGAGATAACCACAAGGGTTTGTGGGCCACACCGGCCTCGGGCACATTGGCTTCTTTCCTTCCCAACTCCTCTACAGAAGTCAAAACCATTCTTTGGGGGCAGAGAGGAGAATTAAAGTCAGTCAAGTTCTCCTCCCAAATCCACCCTGCAAAATTCTGCCAGGAGACCCTGGAAAGCAAGAATGAGGGGCGCGTCTCGCTCAAATATTCCTCTCTCGCTCCTCCCCGGGCCTTTTAACAACTGTCCACGCGGGTCTCAGGTTCTCTCAATGTGTCAGGGGGATCTGATGACCCCCGTCGGTAGGGCTGGGCTTTCCTGATCAGGGGAGAGACTCCCGCGGTCCCAGTCTGCCTAGCGGAGAGCACACGATTCCAGCAGCTGGAGCTCATCACGGGCAGCTGGGAGCTGGAAGGAATCCGTCAATGTTGTGAATTCAAGGGCTGATGGAATTTGGGTCCGGCGTTCTCTTCATGCTCCTCAGGGGCAGCCCCGTCCCGAGGGAGGAGTCACCTGCCACACGGGGGCCTGCTGTCTCCGGACCCCCTTCGCTGACGGCCCCCCTCCCATCCTGCACTGGGATCATAGCAGCCCACGGGCCTGTCTCGGGCCTCACTCCCACCTGGAGGAAGCCGAGCACGGCCCTCTGAGCTGGGCTTTTATGGGAAACCTTCCCAAGCCAAAAAATGCCAGAGCGGCCTTGTCGGGAGACGCTGAGTCGGCTGGTGGACCAGCCCCCGAGGATGACAGAGGCCGAGCCTTCCCGCCTTAGCTGTGGGCTTCCCCAGTCCTACCTGCGCGGCCCGCCACCCCGGCTGGCCCCTGCCAACCACGAAGGGATCGTGGCTCCTTTGGATGCCCCTGGTGCGACACGCAGCGTGCCGGCCATGTGAGACCTCTCCCGCCGACTCCAGGCTCTCCGAAGGCACAGGCATGCTTCTCACGCAGCTGTGTGTCCCCAACCTTGGGCACAACCCAGGCCCACAGAAGACACTTGTTCAATGTGCTCCGAAGGGTTGTTGGAAGCAGACCAGCCACCTCCGCTGCCCACACTGCAGGCCCAACAACTTGGGGCAGCGGGCAGGGAAGGGCTGGGGGTCGACCAGCAGGAAGGAAGAGCAACGAACCTCCCAGGCACCTGTTCCTAGGCTCTACGTCATCACGAAAAGGGCCGTTTTGGGAATGGGGGAGACACTGCCCAGAAGAGTCATGCCCGGTGCTCCCTTCCAGAAGCAGAAATGCGGGGGGCAGGGAAGAAGTCAGAGCAGGTGCCCAAGGAGCCCTGGCCCACGGCCAGCACTTGGCTGACCTCCACCGGGCCGGGTGCACCCAATTCTCAATTCTCTCTTCTGTGTTTTTTATCACCTTCATTTTACAGACTTGGGGACTGAGGCTCAGAGACTCAGCCTGATTTTCCCGGCTGGAAGCCCGCCAGGTGTGCCCCAGGACCCCTGCTCCGAGCACCACAGAAGCCGACGCCAGGGTGAAGTCGACGCCGTGGACCGGCCAGACATTTTCATGAAATGTGATCTGCTTTTTAAAAAAAACGGCTTGGGGCGCCTGGGTGTCTCAGTCAGTTGAGCCTCTGAGTCTTGACTTCCGCTCAGGTCATGATCTCAGGGTGTGAGACTGACCCCCCCGTCAGGCTCCGTGCTCACTGGGGAGTCTGCTTGCGTTTCTCTCTCCATGCGCACTCTTACTCGCTCTCTCTAAATAAGTCAGTCTTAAAAAAAAAAAAAAAAAAGAGGGGCGCCTGGGTGGGTCAGTGGGTTAAAGCCTCTGCCTTCGGCTCAGGTCATGATCCCAGGGTCCTGGGATCGAGCCCCGCATCGGGCTCTCTGCTCAGTGGGGAGCCTGCTTCCTCCTCTCTCTCTCTCTCCGCCTGCCTCTCTGCCTACCTGTGATCTGTCTGTCAAATAAATAAATAAAAATCTAAAAAAAAAAAAAAAAAGAACAGCTTTATTGAGCTGTAACTCACATTCTGTTCCAACTCACCCGTGTAAGCTGTATCTGTCAATGGTTTTTGGTATATTGATGAAGGTACACACCTGTCATCACAATTTTTAGAACATTTTCAGCACCTCAACAAGAGACTCTATACCCTTGAACTATCACACCTCTACAACCCTAAGCAGCCATGAATGTATTTTCTTTTTTTTTTTTTTTTTAAAGATTTTATTTATTTGACACAGAGACAGAGCACAAGCAGGAATAGCAGCAGACAGAGGGAGAGGGAGAAGCAGGCTCTCCGCTGGGCAGGGAGCCCAATGTGGAACTTGATCTCAGGACCCCGGGATCATGACCTGAGCTGAAGGCGGACGCCTAACCAACTGAGCCACCCAGGCGCCCCTATTTTCTGTCTTGAAAGATTTCCCACTGTTGGACTTTTCATATGAAGGGAGTCAAAGAATAACGTCCTTTGTGTCTGACTCCTGTCCTACGGCACAATGTTTTCAAGAGTCCACCATGTTGTACTTCACTCTTTTTCATGGGTGAATAATATTCCACCGGGGGACAGACCCACTTTGTTCATCCACTCATCTGCTGATGGACACTTGGGCTGTCTCCGTCTTCCTTTTTTAAAGATTTATTTATTTATTTATTTATTTATTTATTTATTTGAGAGAGAGAGAGAAGGGGAGGTGAGAGGGGCAGAGGGAGAGAAAGAATTCCAAGCAGACTCCATGCTGAGTGTGGAGCCTGACTTAGGGCTCAATCCCAAGACCCTGAGATCCTGACCTGAGCTGAAATAGTCATCCACTCAAATGACTGGGCCACCCAGGTACCCCGAGTGCCCTACCCCTTTTTGGCTGTGTGAAAGCCACTGTAGTAAACTGTACCAGGCTTCCTTGCTGCCATCACCTGAGCTCCCTCCTGTATCTAGAGCTTTCCCCACAGTATGGGAGGCGGAGCCCACCTCCTTCAAAAGGGAAAAGGCTTTCCCTCCCCCATGGTAGCGTGGATCTGGACAGGATCCAAGCATGGTGGCCCAGGCCTTTGAATCTGAATGTGTGACACTGAGAGTTCATTCCAGGGGCCGTACAGTGGATTGTGCACACGGGTCCTTACACTGTGGGGAGGCGGGCTCTGCAATGGTCCTGGTGCCTCACACCCCTGGATTCCCCTACGCCTCAGTCCAGTAAGGCACTCTCAGTGCACTCAGCAGCCCTTCCACGAATTCCTTTTCTGCTTACAGCAGCCCAGGTCAGCTTCCACTGCTTACCATTAAGAACCCCACACGCATCACACTTGAAGTTTTCTTGCACGCTCCGATATGCGGGGCAAGCTGTGGGATTTCTTCTACCTGGGCTACCTGGTGAAGCTTTAATGGAAAAGCAGTTCTAGAAAGTTCATCCCTCTACGACCGCCCCTCCCCACTTTTGAAGGACATGAAGCAGAGCCCAAAACACAGAAAAAGCTAACTTCAGTCTAGAAAGTTCCTTTCTAAGAGGAAGTGCCCCACTGTGGCACGCTCGCTGCATCACTCTTCAAAGGGATACAGAAGGAAATGTGGAATACTAAAGTTGGAGGGCCAGCCTGCTGGTCTACCCTTCCTGTGGCTGGGTGCCCGGCAGAGATGGCATCGGATGGACAGGCCACGGCGGGCAGGGAGTCAGGGACCATCTGTCTAGTTGAAGGCTGGCCAGAGGGAATCCTGTTATGTTTAAACTTAAATTTTGCCGTGTTAGCAGGGTCCCCTTTTCATGCTTCTCCTGTGACTGGCCCTCGTCCTTCTCGCTGCAAGAAAAGCTTGTGTTAACAAGATGTGTTTCAAATACTTACGTTGCTATCTTCCAAAAACTTAAGTGCTTTCGCTATGTTGTTCAACCGGAAAATGCGATGGGATGAGGATTTGTATTCTTGCAGCTGCAAGACAGAACACAGCAAACAAGTAGTGACTCCAGCAGAGGGACTCCATGGCAGTGGTGCTGTGGGGCAGGGCTTTGTCGCTGTCTCTTTCTCATTAACCCCAAGAAAAAGTTAGGGGCTCGCAGCTGAAACCCACCCCTTATGTATGGTCCTTGGGACTTAAACTCACTTGAGTTGGTGAATGGGGAGGACCTAGGCAGGTTAAACAGGGGACAGATTTGTCAAATTGTTCTCTCTGACCCGGCTCCTGGCTTTGATATCGACCCCCATCCAGAGACCTCCAGGGACACGTTCTCCTCCCCACGCTAATGGTCTTGTCAGACAGGGAGCACCAGCCGGGGTGTCCCTACAGCTGCTAAATCAGCCAGCAAGTCCCTCCTGCCAACAGCAGATGTGTCTGTTTTCTGCCAGGAGCTTTGTGGACAGTTGTCCTGGGTCAGAGAAAGAGGCAGAAGGACAGGCAAAGAGAGAGACAGAGGGAGACAGAGAGCGAGAGAGAGATAGGCTTGTAGAAGCGGAGACTCTGAGGATGGTAGTTGACCATCCCAAGGAAGCGCCTCCGGTTGGGTGGGTTAACGTTACCCGGCAAACCAGTGGGAGTCAGCTCCACCGGCGGGGACCTGCCAGCCAGCCTAGCGGGCCTCCAGAATCAAAGACCCCCCCCAACACAGCCCCACCAAGGACATGGTGTCTATCAACCAGTGGCCTGGACTGCCAAGTGGAGCATGTGTCGCTGGAACCACAGAACAAGGAAGGAGGATACACTTTTGCAGGAAGCCTGTGGGGACTGTGCTGCTGGCTCACTGTCAGCCCTAAGGAAACGAACCCTGTTTTTACCGCAGTGGGTCCATCCCTTGTGAGAGTTCATTATGAGATTCCGCACAGCCCCCCTGGAGCGGCAAACAGGAACCTCCCGTTTTGCTTTGGGAGGTGAAGACGGGAAGGGTTAAATGGGTACGATGAGATCCCAGCAACAGTAGATCTGAAAGCAGGATGGGCTCTTGACTTTAACTATAATTAGAAGTAGATCTGGAGAGGTCCGCACTGGCCGAGCTATAGGCTGGCAGAGTTGTGACCCATGGCTGTGCCTTCTCTTCTGCCGCCACGGGGAACAGAGGCCACGTCAAATGCTAGACTCTAGAGTATGGTTTCTCAACATCAACAGCACTGGCATTTTGGCCGGGTCCCCATACCCCCTCAGTGGACATCTGGCAATGTCAAGTGACATTTTTGGCTGTCATCCCTGGGGGTACGACTGGCATCCAGTAGGTAGAGACCAACGCTGCTGTTACAGATCCTGCAATGCCCAGGACAGTCCCCACGACACAGAACTATCAGACCCAAAATGCCAACAGTGTTGGGGTTCAGAAGCCCTGCTCTGGCAAGAGGACAGAGAAAGGACCAACCTGCCCACATCAGACACATACAATGTGGAGAGGCAGGGCGGAGATCCGCAGTAGAATGACCCTTGAGCTTGGCTGCTTCAGTACAACATGGTCCTATCACACTCGCCCCTTATATGTGGTTTCACTTTCAGCTGACTGCAGTCCAGAAGCCGAGGACCCTCCTTCTGATGTGTGGTCAGAGGATCAGAGTGGCCTCATGCTACGTCATGGACCTACGTCACTTCCCCTCGCTTCCTCTCACCACGTGGGCTTGATGTCATCCGACATCATCACGAGGAGAAGGATAAGGACAGGACAGTAAGGCATTGTGAGAGAGGGAGAGTTCATATTCACACAATTTATTTTTAATTTTATTTTTTTCATGTTCATGTAATTTCTATGACCGTATGTGGTGACAGAATTGTTCTATTTTATAATTAGTTATCCTTGTCAATCTTTCACTGTACCTAATTTCTAAATTAAACTTCATCACAGGGATGTGTGTATTGGAAAAAACATAGCATAGATAGGGCTCCGTACTGCCCCCAGTTTCAGGCATCCACTGGGGGTCTTGGCACATATCCTCCGCAGATAAGGGGGAATGACTATACTTAAGAGAAGGTTCTAGAAGCCAGCAGTTGTAGTTTTGGCCTCAGGCGGGTAATGGAATCCAGTTGGCAAGATGCCTTTCTCCTCCAACCTTCTCCTCCAACTTCCTGATTCTTGGCTAGTTACTATAATGCTTGGAGAGCTAAAGTTTAACGATCTAGTTTCCATCTTTACCCTTAGCTGACTCCCGGAAAATACTGAGCATTTATTTATTTACTTACTGAAGTGTATTTACTTAAAAAAAAAAAAAAAAGATGCTGCTTAGCTGTCCATGATTGTGTCACTCTTGGTCACTGAGAAAGGAATGTCACCCTTCCAAGTTTCTGGTCACGGGATCAGGCATGGCCAGGCATGGACGCACACATATAGCTGTGTACTGAACACAAACCAGCAGTGTTTTCCTTTGCATCTGATGTCTCCCTGACTCTCTATGACATACGTACCAGATTTCGCCCAGACAGGACTTCTAACAAAGCCATTAGGATTTTGCCATCTTGTATATCAACGAATAAATCTTTAACTTCTAGAGGTGGGTTGCACTGTTGAAGAAGCGGAAGAAAGAAGCTGATTAGTGGCCTATGTAATTCACCAAACTGTGCCCGAGCTGCAGGTCTCCCCCAGGGGAAGACTTCTATGCATCCAAATCTGGGTACAGGCAGTCCCTGGGGGCGGGGGGAAGGCACACCTGGGCTGGTGAACTGTGGAGGAGACTTGGCACCAAAGGGTTGATCACAAAAGGGACCTTGGAGATCCCTCCCTGGGACCCTGAGATCTGGGATCCCCCTCATCCCCATTACATTACATCCACACTTCTCCTTAAGGGGAGAAACAAAGGGCATTATCACCCTCCATAGAATAAAATGATTCTAGCAGGACTTCCAGGAAATTACCTAGTATAAGCCCTTCACTTTAGATTTGGGGAAACGGAGGCTCAAAAATGATTCCAGCAGGACTTCTAGGAAATTACCTAGTATAAGCCCTTCACTTTAGATTTGGGGAAACTGAGGCTCAAAGAGGCTAGGTGACGCCCCCAGTGTTTGGGCAGATCTGCTCTTTCATACCATCAGTCGTGTTCCTTCATCAGGACGCACTGGCTGCCCACGGGCGCTGTCCAGACCCACGCCACAATGGCATAATGCTGAGTCAGTGACCCTCTGGGCCTCAGTGCCAGTGTCTACAGGGATTCCCCGCCTCCCACACTGCTCCATCTGAGAACGTGACCATCCTGACGTACCAGCTGACCCTCATCAATCTTCAGTCCAACTCTGGAGGTGGCGGGACCCCTGGCGGAGGGAGCCAGGAAGGCGGCGAGTGTGTGTGACTCAGCTGTGGTGAGTAGGGGCCAGAGGGACAGACTGGACGGCTGGCTCAGGAGGAGAATCCCTTCTCCGCCCCCCACTCCCACCAAGTTTGTAGGCCTGTTAGGGACTCAAAGGTTGGGAGGTTGATTTATCCATAGGTGTTCATGTATATTTCTATGTTTAGCCACAAATGTAATCCATGCTCATTATTACAAATCAAACTAATTAAATTGTATAAAAATGTTAATTGTATAAAAATGTTAATTAGCATTCTGAACGCCACTCCCTTGGTTCTTCTCCAAAAGTTCTGGAGAACCAGTGTAACCTCAAGACGCTCCTCTTACCTGTTCCACTAAGAATCAAGGGAGTTCCTGAGTTCAAATCCAGGCTCTACCCTCAACAGGAACTGGGCCTTGGGCATTTTCCTTAACGTCCCTGGGCCCGACTGTCCTGGTCTGCGAGGTCTTAGAGCCACACGTAGGCTTCCCTGGGGCAACTCGGCTCCCACCATCTGGAGCATGAAGGAGGCCTGGGTGGGCAAAGCTGGAGGCTGTCTGGGGTTTCCTCTCTGGGCCTGGATGCAGAGAGATCGACTGTCTAGGTGAACTGTGTCCACCAGGAGTCTTGCTGGACGTGTGGCCTGGGGGCTCCCAGGGCTGCCTGGAAACTGTCAGTCAGAGGCCCCAGCACACAGATCTCCAAGCATGTTTTTCCTGGAACCCTGGCCTGGAGCAGAACAGCTTCAGGGTGTCCTATGGGGACCTGGGTGTGCTGAGAAGGAGTCTGATCGCTTGCACCCCATGCTTTCATCAGAGAGGTTCAGCTCTTACTGGCCTTTCTTTTGGGTTCGAGGTTAACACTTTGCCTGAAGAAAGGTTGCTGTTGACCAAACCAGCTTGATAACAGGTCCTTCAATGCCCTATGATTAGAACTTAGCATATAGAATCGCAGGGAACAGACTCTAGAAATGCACATTTGTAATACGCCCTAACCTCAGCGTGAATTCTCAGTGTAGTTTTTGGTCGTGGGGCTTTTGGCAATATTGCAACAGGTGGGCCCTGCTCCTGGGTACAATGAATGGGCCGTTCACATGGGACACAGGACTGGGGGTGGGGCTGGAGGCTGGAAACCAGCCAGAGACTCAGGGGTCCAAGCAGAGCCTCGGAAACACGGAGGAGCTGTGGTCTGGGCACCTTTTCCCTCCGGGAAGGCCTCCTTCCTGTGATAGCTTTGGAGGGTCCTTGTGTTCTTTTTTTATGAAGGAAGGTGGCATTTCCTTACCCCTTATATGAGCCCCCTGACCCCCCGTTAGTCCAAATACAGGCCGAGTCCTCCTGCAGGTGCACAGAAAAGGGATCTGCTTCCTGGGCAACAGCGCCTTTTAACCACCAGGCAAATTATTTTCTTTGCAAACCCCCACAGCTCCCTGGGCACATTCCGCTCGGAACGTGACGGCATCAGGTTACAGAGACTCTCACGGAAATGTTATTCCTGCTAACGCAAGGCAGAAAAACGTGATGCCCGGACAAAACACCCCCTGATAGATGAACTAACAAATTTTCCAGGTACCAGCTCCGGCCACGGCCAAGCCTTGCTTGGGCGTCGAACCCGGAGAGTAATTTCCACCGACAGCGTCTGGAAGGGCCTCTGCAGCAGCAAATGGGGCCTTGGCCGGAGGCCACGCGGCGGGACGGCAGCGGGAGACATTGAACCCGCTCCAGCGAAAACACGGCTGGGGCCCCAAATGTTCCGCGGGCTTCATGAGATCGGTATGGCCGAGTAAACAGCACCCCCAGGGCTTTCTTCATGATCTAACTCCTTTGGTAAATGAAGGAATTTTTCCAGAAGCCCCAGACTCCGTAAATATCTCTGACAGCCTTCAAATTGTAGTTAAGCCCAGGTCCCTGAGCGGTTCCCAGGTTTCCTTGACATGAAAGGTTGGTCTTGAAAGTCTCCAGGTTGGAAACATGGCTGTTAATTTCGCCCTGTTTATTAGGCATGGTTTTCAGGTGTTATCTGATTTATTCTCAGAGTGGGGCGACCCACCTGCCCCGAAGAAGGGACAGGGGGCCTTGGCCAAGGAGGCCATCCCTGATCCGACAGGCGCGGACGGGGGCTCCCCTGAGGCTGGTGAGTGTGTATATGGGTATTTGCTGCATTACGCTCTGTCCTTTTCAGTATTTACTTTTCAATTAAGAAAGAAAGAAAGAAATAACTGCGATGGCTGCCCTCCATCCACCAGGAGGAATTTCCAGCTAACACACATCAGGCATTAATTTAAGAGTCCTGCTAACTTAGATTGGGGGAACGGTTTTCCTTTTTTCCAAAAATAACACTTCGCTTTATGAGCCCTGCCGAAAATGCACCAAGAGTCAAAACAACTGGCAAGTGATTTGTAACTCTGTATCCTGGGCAGTTCGGGAGCCCTCCTGGGTCCAGGGGACCCCACTGTGCAGGTGCAGGATAGAGGTGTGGGTGGTCAGGGGCTGCTCGGGGAAACATTACCGACCCCAAGGTCAACGGCACGAATTAGAATCTTGGTCAAGAGCTGCACTTCCGAAAAACCACAATTATTTTCTTGGTGATCTCACAGATTTCCCCTATGACCCCTTCTTCTGGGTTAACTCTACGGGCAGTCAGTAGCTGCCTCTGCACCTTCTCGGAGGACAGGAGAGAAGAAAATCCACACACCTAACCTCACTAAAGTGGGAAACTTGAACACGATCAACTTTATAAGGAAACGTGCAGTGGGCTGCATCCATCGGGGGAACCACACAGTGGAATTTAAGAAGAAATGATGGGAAGGAAACGCAGCCTGATGAATCAGCTGTCTCTTCAAATCATCTCTCCTCCCCCTGCCCTTGGCAAGTTAGAATGTTCCCTGCCTCGGGGGTAATGGTGTGTGTGGAGGGCTCAGAGGGCTCAGATTTCCACCAGCTCGGCTCGGGGCTGGGCTGGTTATCCACTCTCCAACCCGCCTCTCCTCTGCAGCTCATCCTTCTGTTTCTCAGGGACTGAAACAGCCGCTTTGGTTTTATGGTGACCGTGTGTGAGAAGTCTGCAGACAAAAATGCAATCCCAAATTGCCTGGCCCCAGAGTGTCAGAAAGAAAAGGGAAGTTGAAAAAGTAAAAGAAGTTGAACGTCAAGTTGAATACAGAGGAGAAGCCACTGGAAGAGGTTCCTTCTTGGTTTCAGGGAAACCATTTCAGGTCTCAAAAGCCTCTTCCCTCATTGGTAACAGGAGGGGGAATGAAGGTTGTCGTGGGAATTGAAGGAGACATGTGATGCGTACCCAAAGGCACCTAGAGGCACCCAAAGGGGCAGGTAATATCACTGGTCGGTAGCGATGTTCTGTGATTAACAAGGGAATCTGGCTTTGTTAAAAGGTGTTGAGTTCTTGCATAAATCAATCCAAATACCTACAAATGACGCTCACACAGAGGGTCCCCTACTGTCCCCCTAGGACTGGAAGCCCAGCCCGAGCCCCACCCAGGTCCCTCTGTTCATGGAGGCATGTGGGGTGTTCAACAGTGAATGTCTTCAAACACGCGCTCACTGATTCCTATTTAAAGACATACCCTTTCCTTCTGCAACTGGACTGATCACCCCACGAGGGCAGAACCCTGTCTTAACGTCCGTGTTCCCAACACAGAGCTGGACACTTGGCAGTGAAATGTACTCAGCAGATGTTTAAACGAACGCATGAAAAAAGCAACAGCCAAAAACACCGAGCTACCCCTCCCCTCCCGCCACGCTCCTGCACTGACACTCACGGATGAATCGGTCACCAAACGAAAGGCCAAGAGCCCCGCTTACCTTCTCTAGATGCAGGTTTACCCATCGCGTAAAGGTCCTCTTCTGCACATTTTCCCTTTCGACTGAAAACAAAGAAATGCCATTAGCTGGGTGAAACAGAATACAGGCAAAATGCTGCTCTCCTCTTCCCAAGAGGGGTTCCAGGCGGACGGCAGATGGACCCCAGCATGCCCTTGTATAAGGGAAGTCCTTCCCGGAACGGGGTCCACGACGGCTTACGTGGCACCTGGAATCCACTCTCCCCCAGCCCAACCCCACGGCCCCTTAACGAGAATAAATAACCATGAATTCAGACACACAGAACATGTTCTTTCCCGTAGGAAAACAGAGGCATCTGCCCAACATCACACAACCAGTCAGGTTATTCCCATTTTACCGATGATGAAACAGAGGGACAAACCGCTAATACGCAGCCAAGCTGGGACTCGGCAGCTGGATTCCGTGCGTTTCCCACTGGCTCCTGAGCTCTGCGGGGTTAGCTGGCTTGGTGCCCTGGGACTCTGGGACCCTGGGACCCCGGGACACCCCCCACCCCCTGCACCCCAGCTCAAGCTGCCGCGCCCCTCAGGAAGCTTCCTTGAAATGTCTGAGCCAGAAGACTCCTGAATTACTAAGTTCTGGATTTCAACATATTGGAGGAACATATCACACATACTTAAAACCATTCCATGTTTCTTTAGCAATAAGAAAATGGGAGGCAATTCATCTCCCGGGGGAGCCAAGGGGCTAGGGTTTTCTGTAACCACTATGGTTCTTTTTCCCTCTCAGCCTCATTATTAGGTAGATAGTGGTGCCCATAAATCAAATTTTAATATTGTGGCTTTCAATCTTTTTAATTGAAGAGCCGGCAGACAGTAATTATGCACATTAACTGCTTTTTTCTCATTTTCCTCCTTTTCTGTAAGGAAAGGTCACTTAGCAAGCAGGCGTAGGAATTAAAGATCTAATTCCAGTAAACTGTGTTTTGTGGGTAGAAGAGGAGGAAAGGAAAAGAAGTTGATAGAAATGAGGGAGGGAGGGAGAGGGGCATTTGCTGAGGGCCAGGGGCTACAGAGACTCAGGGTTTTCCAGAAGACTGGAGCGCGCCCTGCCCCCAGCCCCACGTGGAACCTTTCTGCCTCTGCAGTGTTTGACATGGTATGGGTGTCCCACAGCTTGGCGGCCATTTCTCTGTTGATGGCACTTGGCAGTTTCCGGTGTTTCAGCGTCACAAGCAGTGTGGCAGTGCACATCCTTGTGTAAGTGCCCTTCTGAGGGGTTCTTTGGGCACAAGCGTATGAATGTATGTCTCATGACTGACAACTGAGAGTGCAACCGCAGGCGCTCAGTGGTGGGCACATTTAACATTTTAATAGCTACTTCTAAATTGCCCTCCCAAAACGCTGCCCTGGTTTATATTCCCCCCCACAACCTGTCTTTAAACAAGTTTATGGGATTGTAAAGTATTTACACACACATTCAAACACTCAGGCTGGTTTCTCCATATGGCTTCAGAGAGAGCAAAGTACGTCCCCTGAAACAGAAGTGCATTCAGTGAAAGCCTGAGAGAACCTGGTTTGGACTGTTGGTTTAACTACGTGGAAGGCTACAAAAGAGGAAGTGGGTGTCTGTTAGTCTATGTATGCCTCATGTATCCATCCAGCCACCCATCTGTCTGTCCATCTATTCATCCTTGCAATTATCCATCCATCCAACCATGTATCCATCCATCCAATCATACATCCTTCCATCCATCCACCCATCTTTCCACCCAACCATGTATCCATCCGTCCATCCATCCATCCGTCCATCCACCATGTACCCATCCATCCTTCCATCCTTCCATCCTCCTGGATAATATTTAGTGAGTGATCATTACATGCTAGGAACTACGTCAGACCCTGTGGGCAAAGTCGGAGATAAAGAACACATTCATGGTGGGACTTCTGGGTGGCTCAGTTGGTTAAGTATCTGTCCTTGGCTCAAGTCATGATCTCAGCGTCCTGAGATCGAGTCCCGCATTGGGCCTCTTGCTTGGCAGGGAGCCTGCTTGTCCCTCTGCTTGCTGTTCTCCGTGCTTGTGCTTAGTCTCCCTCTCTGACAAATAAATAAAATCTTTAAAAAAACCCCCACATTTATGGAATCTGCACCCCAAGAATTCACAGCTAAGCAGGAGAGAAAACATGGAAGCTAAAAGGCACATATGAAGACAAAATAAATTACAAGTTTCCAGGGCTGATAGGGATGAGAGGAGGTAATTTCAGACCCCAGGGAGTACTCCTCCAGGGGTCCTAAGAGGATCGCACAGTAGAAGTGAGACATGGAGGGGGGCTCCTGCAGGCAAGGGCAGTGTCCCAGCCCTGCCCTGTCCCACAACCAATCTCTGGGAGGCTTCATTTCCCTTCCAGCCACCGCCCGTGGGTGAATCTTAGCACAGATTAGCTTTGACAGCAAAGCCGACCCACTGGAGGGCAACATGATGACGGAAGACACCAGGGGACCATGAGACTCAATCACAAATAACAGATGAGTCCCAAACTGAAATAGGGTATGGAGACTATAATTTCTGGACCTGAAACTGGGACACATTGCTCAATACACAGGAGAGAGAGAGACTGTGCGAATTTAGCCTGCCCCAGAATATCCCCTGTGAGCCACACACCACTAGCTGTGCAACCTTGGGCAAGTTCACGACGGCCAACATACCCTTGCCTCAGTCTCCCCTCTACAGGAGGAGGAAAACTGTGCCTTCCTCACAGGCAAGCGGTGAACATTCAAAGGCATCACCCCCACAAGGCTCCACCAGCAGCTGCTAAGGGAGGGCCACCTGCCCGGGCCTCACAGTCACACGGCGCACCCGGGACCCGCAGTATTCCGTCTGCCGTCTTGGCACCAAAGTCTGACGATCTTTCATGACCTTCTCCATTTCGAGATACCCTCCCCCACCCCACAGACTCTTTCTACTGCTGGCCTGCCAAGACTCCATAAACTTTATATAGTTTCCATAAATCCCGTGGCCCCTTTTTTCCTCCGCACCTATCACGTTGTAAAGGTGTAGGGAGCGATTTCTCTGGAAGGGGTCTGGCCTTTTCACGGAGTGTTTGTGGGGCCCAGAGTGGGGGTGCCGGGTAACAGCAGAGCAATAACAGAGCTATAAAAGCACCATCTCTGGGCCTGCCTGGCTGCCCCGGGTGCCCCAGTGTGGGGCAGGCTGGAGGAGGAGGAGGAGCTCGCCAGCCCCAGGACCCACGGGAGAAAGGCAGAAAGGGAAGCCCAAGCTTTGGGCACAAAGCCACCGTCCCGAGTATCCCCCCCCCCCCGCCGGCGTGACTGTAGCCCCTGCTTTGCCAAGAATAGACAATTTCAAGGGTGCCTGGGTGGCTCAGTCGGTCAAGTGTCTGACTCCTGATTTCGGCTCAGGTCATAATTTTAGGGTCATGAGGTCGAACAGAGCCTGCTTGGGATTCTCTCCCTCTATCCTATCTCACCCACATGCACACACGCTCTCTCTCTAAAAAAAAAAAAGAATAGGCAATTCCAAAATGTGAACTTTCTCCCTTTTCAGGCCACTGGCGGCCCGTTCAGGAGTTGGGAACCACAGAGAAAGGGATGTTGGCTTGGGAGTGAAAATAGATTCATACTGTAGCCTTCTTTCCCTATGTCCACACTTCCCTTAAAACTACTTCCTCTCTAACATTTCCTCTGTAATATCTCTGCTCTTCCTCACCCATGAGAAAGGCCTGATGGTTTATCTGTCTATAAGCATATGCTCGTAATAAGAAAATTAAAATACAGGAAAGCATAGAGAAACAGATCTAAAATCTGTTATTGAAATCTTATTACATCCAGAGATCACCACTATTGATAATTTACTGATTATCCTTCTAGAACCATGGGTGTGCACACTGACACACACACACACACACACACACACACACACAGCTAAAGCACGAAGATACTCATGTACGCAACTTTAATGTGATCAGCAAATGTCTCGGTGTTTCTCAAAGTATGGCCCACAGATGACTCACACCAAGACCTTCCAGGGTGACAGTTAACTTGCTATTCCTGGACCCCATCCAAGACCTCCGGACTCGCTCTTTCTGGGGCCTGGGCCTGGGCACTTGCATTTAATCAGCTTGCTGGGTGACCCTGTGGCACACTTGGAGAACCTGGAGAAGAGACAACTGGCACAATCTCTTGGTTCTGTTCAGGCGGTGTCTGGCGTGCACCAGACCTGTCGCCGGGCATGGAAGGAACAGGCCGTCCGGAGCCTGGTACATAGGTGGCACCGGAGACCAAAGATAGGGGACACAGGTTCAGTTCCCAGCTTGTCTTCCAGCAACAGGCAAAAAAAAAAAATGGCATTTCTTGTGCCTTCATTGTCCAAAGGGCTCTCCCTGAGTGTCTTTAGTCCTGAATTCATACACCTCTCTGACTCCCCAACAGATGAACCAGAATTTACCAGAAGGGCTGCAGACCCGAATTCCCACAGGGGGCCTTCACTCTGCAATGTCCATTCAGACGTGTCAGCTGGGAGTGTTTCTTTCCAGTGTCAGAGGCACTGCCTGGCGAGAGGCAGGAGGCAGACAGGCAGGCTGAGGCCTCATCGCTCTCCTCCTCGGCCAGGCTGCTGGGCTCAGTGCTCCACACCCACCTCCAGGAAGTCCTCCGGCTTTCCTGCGGCCCTGGCCCTACTCCCCACGCTGGGCAGGCCCTATATCGGCTGAAGTCCCCTCACAGGCCTGGCTCCTAGCCAGTGGTGCTCAGGCGGTGGGGGGGGCGGGGGGGTGCCTCTGTCCCCGTGGGACACCCGGCAGCATCTGGAGATGGTTTGATTGTCACAGAGCAGAGGGTTCGACTGGCATCTGGCGGCTTAAGGCCAGGGACGCAGCTCCACACCCTAGCGTGCTCAGGATGGCCCCTACCACAGGACAGATTTATCCAGCCCTGAATGTCAGCAGCGCTCAGGGTGAGAAGGCCCGGGGGGGTTGCCTATGGGACCCCCCCCAGTCGGCTCCTGTCTCAGCCTTCCTGCCACAGAGCACAAAGAAAAGCTCCAGCAAACGAGAGGTCTGCTGGT